CTTAGCCACTGAGTCACCGGGTCCCACTATTATAAATGCATAATACAAGGCAAAACTCTAAAGAAAACATTTCTTTAAAAAAGGCAAAACAATTCATTTATTCATGTGGCACGTACAGTCCAAACGGAAACAAATATGATTTAGGCGTGTCAAACTTGATTTCATTGAGGGACACATTAGGGTTGGGTTTGACCTCAGGGGTGTGTGGCCAGGGTAGGCATGGACAGCTCGACATCATTCATGTCGGGGGCGCCTGTGGTGGCCCAAGTGCTCTGCCAGTGAAAACAGGCTCCCAAGCTCAGTTTCCAGCTGCAACAGCCTCCTGCAACCCTCTGCAAGTGAAAACGGAGCTCAGGAGGGCCACACACGGCCCTTCCTAGCTCAGATTTTGCTGGCAGAGGCACCGCGGGCTGGTCCTTCCCTGTTTCCAGGGTGGCCCCATGGGCCAGATCTAAGCACCCCATGGGCTGGATCCGGCCCGCAGGACTTGAGTTTGACACCCCTGATTTAGAAAGACAATGTTATAAAAACATAAGAATCATGTATTTAGCCAAAGGGAAAATTAATTTTCAGCATGATATCAACATCCTTTACAGAGCCATGGTGGTGCTGTGGTTAAAATGCAGTATTTCAGGCTAATTCTGCCAACTGCTGGCATTTCGATCCTAACCAGCTCAAGGTTGATTCAGCCTTCCAACTTTCCAAAGTTGGTAAAATGAGATAGTTGGGGGCAATATGCTGACTCTGTAAACCACTTAGAGAGGGCTGTGAAGTGGTATATAAGCCTAAGTGCTATTGCTATCCTTAAAATTCACAGAAGCAATTCATGCTGATTTTACTAAACGTGAAGTCTCAAATGTTGATTTTTGTAGCCTGGAAAACTATAAGTAGAAGTTTTTTTAAAAAAGAAAAAAGATGGTGGAAGGGATGTTGTAGTGCCAGCTCCACCCCTTTTGTACATGCATTCAGCAGTGAAAGAAGTAAAAAATGGGTGGGATTGTATTACAACATCATTTTTGCTATCTTGGACACCTGTCACGTTGCAGATTGCAACTATTTGTTTTGATGATTTAAGCTCCATCTTTGCACCTTGTAGGTGTTCCCTTCCATGCACAGGAAGGAGCTGATATTCTTCAGCAGGCAGCTCTTTCAGCCAGCCCCTATAGAGAAGAAAGACCCCAAATCCAAGCAGAATTTTCAGCTCCTAAATGGAAAGGCAGCATGGTAAAAAAAGGAACATGGGATATCTTAGGAGGATGGGCTAGTCCCCGGCAGGACGGACAGAGGATGTCTGTGAGTGACTGTTTCTGAGACGCTGAAAATCCTCCTTGGATTTCAGCAGGGAGGATTTTCAGCTCCTGAATGAAGCCTTCCGGGATCTGCCCTACCCTCTCAGAGACACTCACACTCCTCACCTAAACCTTCATCCATGAACCAACTTCCGTGATTGCTTAACAACTGCAACTGGGAATGCTAGTTGCATTGGGTTGGGGTTGTTGAGCAAAGCAGTCCATATGGGCAGTGATATGATGTCTCATTAATGATTGCTTTGCTTAACAACTGAGATTCCAGTCTCAACGGTAGTTGTTACACAAGGATTACTTTGCAGTGACTTTACGAGCTATTTTGGTGTTTGGTTCTCAAGTCAACGCGAAGCTTTAGTTCCCTTACTAACAACTTAAATAATTAAAACTTTTTCTCATGCAACAATGTAACTGTAGCATAAATATCGGAAAAAGTGACAAAACTAAGGACTTGGAGAAGGGAAATTAGGTGGTTGAGAATCACTCTTCCAGTCACTAGAACTTTAGTAAACCAAAAAATGCTTGAGATGGCTTCCACTTTTCAGACCTAGTTTATTGCTTTGTTACACAGCATGCCACCACGATTTGTGCTAAAGTATATTTCCCTGTCCTCCAAAAGGTAAATTTAGCTTCTTTAACACAGAGATACCTTGCATATGAACTATCATTTTAAAAAGTTGTAGCAAGATGTTTGCCTCTGAAAAGGAGCATTTATGAGCCAACCCTACTTAGCTTTTCTAATCATCCTGTGATAACATCATGTTATCCTTTAATGAAAAGCTTTGTTTTTGTCTAAGATAAACAAGCTAGAACAGCTTTACAAACATGGCAAAATTGTACTTCTTTCAACTCATATTTTCCATTTGGTCAAAGTGAAGCTAAATGATTCAGGTAAGGGCCTGGACCCCCTCCTCTCTGCTTTCACTATAGTTTTTATTTATTTATTATCATTGATTAAATTTGTTTGATGTCCATCTCACCATCTCTATAATGAAGCAGAGTTTTAAAGGTATTGCCTACCTTATATACCCTGGGAAAGGATACAAAAACAGAATATTTGACCATTCTGTGAGGTTTTTGCCTTGCAGGCATAGTTTCTGCCATTCTAACCCTGAGCAGTGTAGAGACTTTTTAAATTTTTTATCGATTTCAGCTGCTGTATGTATTAATATTTCATAGTGCCTTGGATTCATCATACAGTAAATGAATAAAATAAATTCCATTGTGCTTTATGAAGGTTAGCCACACTGAACTTTTAATAAGAGGCAATTGTTTTTTAAGTAGTAAGTATTCTTAAATTTCCCTCTTCTGTGTTGCAGATTTGAAAGGTGAATAACCTGTATCCCTCAGTCAATTACTCAGTTCCACTTCCCAAGAGCCTCAACCAACATTGTCAAACATGAGGCATTCTGAAAAGTATAATATTTAGAGTATGCATGTTGCCCCCTCCTGTACTATAAGATCAAAAGGTAGATATGTTATCTTAGAATCATGGTGGAATCCTGTGTTCTGGCAAATCAATAAATTATATTTCCCCACAGAATTTAGCATACACTGTAACCTGTAAGTTGTCACACGTCTACCACCTTGCCATCAGCTTAGATGGCAATTTAAAAGCCAGAGAGCTAGACTATGATAAGTTTTTAAAATGAATTGAGAAAGAAATAAAATAGACCATCACAAGTTAATATATCTGAATTTATTTTGATTGTTAGTTTTGTTTTGTTTTTTATATCTGCTGGTGTTTCCAATATAAACCTAGTAAAAGTGTTTTAACAGTGGAGGATTTAGAAGTTTTCCATGGTTCAAACTCCTTTGAACAGAATAATTTTTTTCAGATGCTGTTTTTCTTCATCTGTTTAACTTAAAGGTTTCCCCTGTTCAGTCATATCCAATTCTAGAGGTGGTACTCATCATTCTTAGCTGAGGGAGGCAACATTGTCCGAAGACATTTCTGTAGTCATGTGGCCACCATGACTATATGCCAAGCTGCAGGGAACACTGTTACCTTCCCACCGAAGTGGTACCTATTTATCTATTCACATTTGAATGCTTTCGAACTGGTAGGTGAGCAGGAGCCAGGGCAAGTAACGGCAGCTCACTTGTGAGGCGCTCAGGTCTTGAACCCAGCCTCTCAACTTTCCAGCTGACAAGTTCCTCATACTTAACTTAAATGTATTCATATATTAAGGTTCCTACTAGGGAATTAACAATACGAGTCCTAATAGCCTACTTATTCTTTTTTTTATGAACTTCTGTTTGTCTTCTAAAAAATGAGACACTCTTTTTCAGGCATTTATGAAGACATGACATTTTTCTCCCAACAAACCTTTGCAACTAGTTCCTGGAGCTCAGACCCTTAGTGACAGACCACAGATGGCCCCACAACATTAATTTAATTAATTTAATCCCCTGCCTGGGGTTTCAGTACCGCTGGATTTTTCAGCTTGGATAATCCTAGATCAGTGATGCTTAACCTTTTTGGTGCCAAGTGCCCAAAGCGTGCACGCAAATTCACATGTGCATGCCAGAACCCCCAAAATGCATTGCGAGCACCCCCCCACGCATGTGCCCTCGCATGGTCCCCTGCACCCCATTTTGGGCCTGGAAAGCCTCCTCCACCAACCTGCACCCCCCGTGCATGCACCCTGTCCTCCACATGCACCATGCCCCTGTGCAGCAGAGACCTGAAGACCAACTGGCCGGTGGGAGGCGTGCACGCATGTGCGGTGCCATCATGGTCCTAGATGTTCTCCATGTTCTTCACAACACTTCCAACTTGACATTAACAATAACCCTAACATTATTGCAGAGGTATCCACATGTCTTAGATAGACAAATAGAATGGCAAAATAATAGCTCTGTTTTGCAGGGATTTTTTTTTAATGTTTAGCAGTACATTTGTAATAGTCTTCATTTTGACTAAAAATGATTATATCTATAAATGTAAAGATTTCAGTATTATAGACCTTGGACTAACAAACCAGTCCTCGTGTGGACCAATTTTTTTTTTTGCTTTAATTTATATGCCGCCCTTCTCCGGAGACTCAGGGCGGCTTACAATGTGTTAAGCAATAGCCTTCATACTTTTGTATATTTATACAAAGTCAGCTTATTGCCCCCACAATCTGGGTCCTCATTTCACCTACCACTATCATTTTCAGCTTAAGACCCCTAAATAGTCACTGAATCGCATGGATTTGTGGTAAATTGGGTAACATTTGGCACAGAAGTAGTACTGAACTTAGGACCATCGGTTTAACAATGATTCAAAGTTACAAAGGCCTCAGAAAAAATGATTCATGATCTGTCCTCCCACAACCGTCACACCACTGTGCCGTCATGTGATCGCAATATAGCAGCTTAGCAACCAGCTCATGTTTACAACCAGCGTCTTGTGGGTCATGTGATTGTGATTTGTGATCTTCCCAGATAGTTTCCAACAAGCAATGCTAATTGGGGAAGCTGCGTTCTCTTAATAACCATGATAAAAAAAAAGATTGTAAAATCGGGTCTGGTCACATGACAATTCATTTAATTGACATCACTTAGCAACTGAAATTCCAGTTCTAACTTTGGTCACAAATCGAGGACTATGTGTAAACCTGTTAAAATTAAATAAAACGTGGAAGCTGGCAAGGAATTCACTTAGTATATCATACCGTCAATTTGAATTAGGAAAACATGATTACTTACATTCATATTCCTATCCCAGATCTGGATGGACCCATCTTGGCAGCCAGCTGCAATAAGTTTACCATCTCTGCTGTAGGTGCAGCTTGTTGGAATCACCCTTTTACCTTGAGCTGAACGTGGTTTAAACACAGTTTTATGGTTTTTCTCATTAGTAACATCCCACGTCCTTACAGTCCTAGGGAAAAAGCACAGAAATAATGCAAATAATTATGTATAGATATGATAAGTACATTCTAATATATACCTATATATAATACATACATACATACATACATACATACATACATACATACATACATATACACACACACATATACATATATGCAAATATCTAATTTTCCTTATGATGCAAGCCACAAATACAACTAATTTTTAATTAATAAAATTAATAAAATGTGAGAGATACATATGTATCTCCCTCTTGTTAAGCCACATAGAGAACAGCTATAAATGAATCTGTCAAATTCTTTTTTCAAGTGGATTTTGCTTCAAATTCTATCCAATGTTAAATTTTAACTGGGCAACTACTGAGTTCTTACATGAAATTCTGAAAATCTTTAAAGGAAAAAAAAAAACAGAAGTTACAATAAGCAAAAATCAAATGCCCAAAGAATCATGGTGGTAGAATGGTTACAGAGTGACCCAGTTCAAGTCCATCATCAGCCACGGAGACTCAGATAAATAAGTAGGTAGGTAGGTAGGTAGGTAGCAGTGGTGGGTTTCAAATTTTTTTACTACCGGTTCTGTGGGCGTGGCATGGCTTGGTGGGTGTGGCTTGGTGGGCGTGGCAGGGGAAGAATACTATAAAATCTCCATTTCCTCCTGAACAGCTGGGACTTGGGAGGCAGAGAATAGATGGGGGGCGGGACCAGTCAGAATTTTTACTACCAGTTCTCTGAACTGCTTAAAATTTCCGCTACCAGTTCTCCAGAACTGGTCAGAACCTGCTGAAACCCATCTCTGGTAGGTAGGTAGGTAGGTAGGTAGATAGATATAGAGATAGATACAGATTTGACTCTGCATAAAATACCTATGATTCACCTTTCTGATCTGCTGTCTTGAGAAGGCAGTAAACATGGAAGTAATATTCTAGATCCAGAATTTGATACAAAATTCTGTGATGAACAGGCAAACGATGAATGGGATCTAAGTGGAACCTAAATTAAAAAATGGCTAAGCATGAAGTGATTTTCCTTTCACTTCACTTGTCCTCTACTTTTCCATACATTTCTTTATTTGTTTAATGCATAGTCCTCTTGATTTAGCCAGTGAAACAAGGTGGATTAAGAACAATGGGAAAGAACCACCTCCTGAACTTAATCAGGTCAGTGTCTTTTCTGTGCCTGAATGAAAGATTGCTTGTGAACCCCACAGATATTATATTGCAATTTAATAGCAAAGATGGAGAATCTCTAGCCTGCAGATGTAGTTTTGAAACTACAAATCCCAGAATTACTATCAGTTGGCTCAGTAGTGGGAGTAGAGGATCCCCATTCTTGCTGTGTGGGAATAAAAATGGGATAAAAGGGCACAAAATAAAATATGCAAAGTATGTTATCTAATAGATGGGGATTAATCCATCACTTTGCTCTTTTATAAACAGAATTGGAAAAAGAACTACTTGACATTTTCTTCTTTATCTACATAATGTAGTATGTGCATTGCTTGGATTAATCAGAAAAATACTAGCATTTGTAGAAACCAAGCATAAAAATGAGCTGCCAAATTTTAACACAAGTCAATCTAAAACACTGACCTTAGACAAAGTGCATTTAAATTCAGAGTTGTGTCGGGGCTAAAAACAAAACCCTGAAAATTACACAACACTTCTCAGCTCAGAAGGCTGACACGTAATGCAGAATACATACCCTGTTTACATGTAACTTGTTGGTTTTTTTTAAAGTGGTTCTACATCTGTGGAGCAGATTCTATGAAATGCTTCTAAATGCCAAGAAGTGATCTGAAGCAATTCTAAAAGGGATGGAAATACTCTTTTGGAAGACAATAAGCATATATTAATGACCTGAGAATGTAAATAATTTTTGTGTACAACTTAATGTTCCTGGGTTCAGTTTTAGGTCCCCTAAATTTGCATTTCCTTTTAGATTTACACGAATTCGTAAATGTGTTCCTCCTATCAGTTGTACAATGAAAAGAAAAAACTCGGAGGCAGCCCTACTGTTACGAGTGATCATGGGGATTTAAAGAACTACATTTATTGTTGCCAAAATACATCCCGTTTCAAGTCAGGATTTATAACAAACACATCCCTCATGTATAACTAAGTGCAGCTAGTCCTCAATTTACAACCATAATTGTGTCCAAAATTGTAGCTGTAAGCAGTGCTGGTTGTTAAGCAGGTCACCATATAACTATGCCTGATTTTACAACACTTTTTGTGGCAGTTGTTAAGCAATCATTAAGAGACTCCATGGGCGGTTTTTTTTTATTTTTTTTGCCAAAACAGGAAGTATATTAATTTCTGGTCAAAAACATTGCAAATTGCAGTTATGTGACTGCAGAATAAATGCAAATGGACATAAATGAGGGTCAGTAGCTAAGTGCCAAAAATGTAATTATGTAACCGTCATGAGAACTTCAAATCCAGGTCGTAAGCAGCCCTGGGAAGGTCAGTTGTAACTTTGAATGGTCACTAAAGGACCATTCATAACTCAGGGACTATCTGTATGATGAAACAGCAAACTACAAATACTTTGATACTAGGAAACAGGGAAAAAAAAGATAAATTTGATATACACAACAAGTAAAATGAATGAAGCTAGTTGAAACTCCTGGATGCAGATGAATGGAAAAAGGATTGTTGCATCACTATGACCAGGGATCCAATTCTTCACTTCCAATTCTTCTATTAATTATTTTATCTACTATTGCAGGCAAATGGCAGGCCAGCATTAGATAGTAAACTTGAGTATTCAGTTCTGTGTCTTTGCCAATTAAATACGGAACTTTATGAATGTTTGCACTGTTAGAAAAGATTTTATTAGGTGATTCCTAACATCTTTTTAAAATAAGAGTCTGATGCATTAGAAATACAAGATGCTGTAGTGTTGCAGTATCTTATAGCTCTGAAGACACAAAAGGCCAAAACTGAAGAACCCCAAAACAACAATGAAAGGCAGGGCTGTTTTCCATGCTTATTTGGCAAAAGATTTTCTGAATAAACTACATACATGAAAACTCTGCATCTGAATGCAATTACAATAATATAGTCCAGGCTACAGAAGAATTCTTAATCGTATACTGAAAAAAGTTAAAGATTAACAATAAACCAAAACTGGAAGAGAGAACCTCAACTAATAAATATTAATATCTATATATGTAACAGTATTTTACTCATTCTTTGGCTCATTGTGGTAGATTTGAATAATCAAGACTTGAATCTGTAACGTTATAGAGTGTTGGGGATGTTGAATATCCCTATAAAAAGAGCTTATAATGTCTATTGCAGTTTTTAATCTATACTTCTATCAGGCCAGTTTCCCTTCTGGAGAGAGAGAGAAAATAAATATTACAAATAATATTAAAAAAATATTTATTTATTTTTTTCCCCTCAACCTCTTTCTGAGTCAGAATTTTGGGATATTATAGACCCGTGATGGTGAACCTATGGCACGCATGCCAGAAGTGGCACGCAGAGCCATCTCTCCGGGCATGCCAGCCATCACCCGTTGCTCTTCCAGGTTTCTGGGAGCACCAGAAACCAAAGAGCAGCTCCCTGGTGTGCATGCGCACGCCGGGAAGCTGAGCTTCCGGTTTCCAGCGCACACATGTATGCACACTAGAAACCAGAAGACCAGGTGACCGGCATGCATGCACACACCGGAAACTGGAAGCTCAGCTTCCTGGCACGCACATGCACGCCAGGGAGATGCTCTTCTGGTTTCCAGTACGCCCGCACGTGCGAAGACCAGTGAACCTGGAAGAGCAACGGGCAATGACTGGCGTGCCCGGAGAGATGGCTCTGTGTGCCACTTCCGGCATGTGTGCCATAGGTTCACCAACAAAACTGCTCTTCCAGTTTAAGGCACTCCCGCACATGCACATGAGGAGCTGCTCTTTTGGTTTCTGGTGCTCCCCCCCACATGCATGCTCCCATTTCGGCACTTGGTGCTGAAAAGGTTTGCCAACACTGTTATAGACCACTGTTATAGACCATTGAGGCCCTATTGATATCCTCCTTCAGCTAAGAGAAGTTGTGCTATCCTAATTGTGAACAGTCTATAACCGTGATGACGAACCTATGGCACGCGTGCCACAGGTGGCACGCAGAGCCATATCTGTGGGCACGCGAGTGTTGCCCTAGCTCAGCTCCAGTGTGCATGCATGCCGGCCAGCTGACTTTCAGGCCTTCCGGGCCCACAACAAATTGGGAAACAGGCCATTTCCGACCTCTGAAGGGCCTCTTGGGGGGGGGAGAAAGCTGTTTTTGCCCTCCCCAGGCTCCAAGAAAGCCTCTGGAGCCTGAGGAGGGTGAAAAATGGGCCTACCGGGCCCACCGTGCCAGCACGTGCCAAAAGCGTGGGGAGAGGGTCACATGTGTGGGGTGGGGCGCATTGGATTATGGGTGTGGGCACACACACACGTGATACCCCCGTGCTCTCCCCACTTTTGGTACGTGATGGCAAAAAGGTTAGCCATCACTAGTCTATAACCTTTCAAATATATCGGTCAGCACACACAATATAGAAAGAAAACAGGCCATGTTCACAGCTCTATGCCCATGTTTCTGTAACCTCCAGAATATTCTCTTAAGGAAGACCTTGATTTCTGGATTATGCTGACAGCTGTACTTGCTCTGTCTAATAAATGGAGGCTGGAGAGAGATGGGGGTGTGGTTTAATATAACCCATTTTCTCCCCATCCTGAGCATTTGAGTCTCTGAATTGGATATCAATCAACTCTGAATCCCCCAATGTTGTTTTTATGGTTCCTATCGTCCTCAGCCTATTTGACTAATGACCAGAGGTTATGGTCACTGTAGTCCACCATCAAGGGATCCATGTGTGGGAAAGTCCATAGTTAAAGATTCTCAAACATGATTATTCTACCTGCTGATGGGTTTATATATGATAAGACAGATGACAGACATACAGAGCCAGTCGGTCTGGTGGCTAAAGACATCAAAAGTAGCTGATTGTGAGTTCAAGTCCTGCT